AAAAAATTTGCCTCAATCAAAGATTCTAATAAACTCAAGAATGCAAAGTTTAACACCTCAAGAAGTTTTATCTAATATATTTTTTTAAAAAACAAAATTGTTCTCGCATCATTTTAATCAAGAATTGCCACTACTAGAGCACAAAAAAGCTGCAAGCTTTTGTAATGAATTGAAGTAATTTTTGTTTGCAAATCATAAAACAGGCACCTTTTAAAAAATTATAAAAATTCACTACTCAATTGAGCTTTTGCGTAAAAAGATCAAAGAGATGCTCACGGTAACTAAAGCATTTACGTCTTGTTATTTTACATGGTACCGTAATTTCCATTTAGAGATAAGATTCCAGCACTTACAAAAACCATTGTGTGGAAATAGCCTCCTTCTACCTTTAGATATGATTTAGTTGTTGAATTTTTGATTCACAGTTAGCGTTAATCGTGAAAAAACAAGCTTAGTCGTATTTTTAGAGAATATTCGCGTTAATGGGCAAAAAATGACCAAAAACTATTGAATGAGATTTTCTTCACCTGATTTTTTCTCTTGAATTGTTAGAAATTTTGGTCCTTCATTAGCTTTTAAAGCTTTGTGATTGGATAAGAATGATTGAACGCCAGTCTGAGGAACCAAATTTTTATTATTTCAACAGAGTTTTTTCAATAAATAAAACCTCACTCAAAACTTATTAGGCACTTTTTTTCCAAAAAAAAAAGTTTGATGCAAGTTTGATGCATTTCTATCGTGAGACGTTTTCGATGAGCGTAGCAAAGAGTATGACCGGGTTTATTTTTGCTCCTGAACCAAACAGCTATGTAGCAATGCTGAGACAAAAATTCAAATGTCTTAGCAATTTTTTTTGAAAATGAAACTTAACAACTCCTTTTTTAATTAAAATGTAACTCAATACAGGACTTGAATTTGTTCATGCCCCCAAAAAAGCTAGCAAACCCCAAAACCCGAAACGAGTCTATCTTCAGACTTTTCTAACTGATTTCTTTCTGTGTAAATCTATATATCAGCAATCAAGTTTTTTTAATGCTCTAATTAATTGATTTATTTACTATCAAATCGATTGTAATTCGTTTTTATTTAAACAACTCGATAGTCACCAAAATCCACTGGTATACAATTTGTTTAGCAAACATCCAAAAATTTATTCATTATGCAAGCAGCTTCAATGTTTTAGGTCGCTCTTAGAAATGTAAAACGATTGTCCTTAGATGTATCCAGGGGCGGATCTAGGATTTTCTCGAGGGGGGGGGGGGGGGGGGGGCGGATTTGTCGATCAGATGGATTTTCCGAGCTCTCCCAAAGCAATAAAAAGACCCTGTTTTGGCCAAATTTTCTGCGCCGCAGGCAATTTTTTGAAAAACCAGGTCAAAAAAGCCGTTTTTGGGCACTTTTTGGAAAATTTTGACAAAAAAATCGCGTTTTTTTTGGCGCGCGCTCCCCCTCAAAATAAGTATATATTGGCGCCAAAGGCGCCTTTAGAAAAATTTTAGGGTCGGTCGGCCAAAAATGGATTTCTTAAAAAGTACCAAAGGGGGGACCCTTTGGGTTGGCAGGGGGTCGAATCCCTGAGGGGGAGCGTCCGCCCCCCCGCCCCCCCCCCTAAATCCGCCCCTGGATGTATCAGCAGGGTTACGTAAAATATCTGGCCAGATTATGTCACCGTTATTTAAAAATTTTATTCACTTCTCTTATATATTTTTTATAGTTTTACCACTATTTATATAGTATTACCACGAGCATCCTGTGTATCAGAAGCTGGATAAAAAACGCGAGAAAGTTTATTAACCAAACAAATATGAAAACATGAATTAAGTTTGCTTCAAACAATGCTTCAATATTACAAAGATGATTTATGGTAAAAGGTAACAAATTGACAGGTCATTAAAACAACAAGTCACTAAGAACAATGAATAATTTTCCAGTTTCATGATTGTTTCATTTTTTAGAAAATAAAAACAAAACCATTGAAAATGATTACCCTGTTTCTATTTGTTTTCAATGACTTTGACTTCAATAAGTACTCCTTTAGTTAACTTGTGTCTTAACAGCTGTTCTTGTGTTTGCCGGCCACGAACAGTCTATCATACCAACTACAATAACATGCTCTAGACACAATCATTTTGGTACGAAATTTAATTTTTATAAATACCTACTAGAAAACTTAAGATCTAGATAGCGCTTTGAAAACAGCGCTTAGAAAAATTTTATTGAATACAATAAAGTGAAAAAATTGATTATTGAAAATTTATTACAAACAAATAGCCTTAATTTCCGAACATTCGAAGAAAGTGTGGAATTTTTATGCTCGTTTATGTACAACGAGTTGAAAAAGCGGAACAAATGGGACCAGCAGACAAAACAATATACGTTGAGCGTAAATGCACTTTCATTTAGACTAGTTTTTATATGAACGGCCATAGTTAATGGGGAAAAATTCAGACATACTTTTAATTGCAAATCGAATCAAAATAAGGGTTTTCTGACATTCACTTTAGGTAAAAAAACGTCTAAACTTAAAATCAGTCTGCACGTGATTGAAACAATAACGAAAAACAAGTTTTTTCAATTTTACATAATCTGAATATGTTTTTAACAGTTTTAAAAGCAGTCAAACAGTTGAAAAATTAATTCAATAAGACTGTGAAAAAAAAATAACTTTATAAATTCTTTCACATCCGAAAAATTGTTTTACTTAAAATGGACTCCGTAAAAAAAATTTACTCAAAACACAGTTTGAGATCTGAAGATCGATGACTTTTTTCTGCTTAGAGTAATTATAAAAACAAAATATACTCATATGAAAATTAAGCTATTTCATTTTTTACGCCAATTGATACCTTTTTTTATCCGAGAGCTTAACTTGCTTCCCTTTTAAATTTGATTTTTCCGAACAAAATTTTGATTAATGAAAATAAAATCCATTAATTTATAATTCAAGCCTAATTTTTAGGTTGTTTTGGACCTTTGTTATAAATAGCATAATTTCATCTGTTTAAAAACTGATTTTATCAAATTGATAGTGATAAGAATTATTTTTTCCAATCTAAAATTACCCTTAAAATCACGTTTTCTTTACTATTTTTCAAATATAAAGATTGGGAGGAGGCCATTCGGCTGCAGGAGCTTGTTTTTGGGCACTTGGAGTGAGAAAAAATCACTAATATGCGCTAGCAACATTGCAATTTCTCTGTATTATGATTCCATAATCAAAATAAAAAATCCACAACTAGAAATCATGAAAGAAACAACTTTGAATTGTTGATTTTAAAGTTAATGAGACTATCCTGACTAAGATATATTCAATAATTTTTGAACTTTTCTGTTATCCTAGAAATTTTCTTCTAAGAATCTATGATTGAAACAGCCAACTAATTTCGTTCTGACTGTTCTGATAAAATTTATCCAATTTAGCTAGAAACAAATTACCATGGTGAAGAGGTTTCGAACTGACTGATTTTTGCAATTCTCGAATGTTTTTTTTTCGATGAAACGTTTCATTTCTGTTTTAAAATCGGTGGCTGATGAGATGTGAGTGTTAGTGTGTGCATGTTTTCCATTTTGCAGAACTGGTTGATTGTAGCTTTGTACGCTATGAACCTTTGCTCTGAGGTTACGTATTTGCGTGATTGGTAAAAGAATCCGCAGAACTGAAGCAAAAGCAGTTTTCAAAATTTGCGATGTGGTTATGAAAAGTTGGATTCGAATCCAGGTTGATGCTTAAGTATTAAAGGCATTGAATTTCCTCTAACGATGGTCCCTGTATTTTTAAGTGCTTTTCATGTAGACAAGCTTTTCAAAAGGAATTGTTTTTTTTTCGTTAGCAATGATTTTGGTTTGTCCCCAATTCTCTGATGCATGTGTTTGGCTTACTGAATTATTTTGTTCGTTTTAATAAAGTGTAATCTCTATAAAGAGAAAATCTATTGTTGGATTGTTCAAGGACCGATGGATCCTTGAAAGCAAATAGCAAAAGTCGCAGACTTGAATCCTGCGTCTCCCCCACATTGTATACTTTTTGTTTTAATTTTTGTCTCAAAACTTCAATGTAAAATTTAAGATCTTCAGGATATGACTTACGCAGTTCATGAACTGCCATTCAATAACCACAAATTTGGAGTTTAATCGGCAGTATTGAGTGATTTACAGTATCAAATGATTTTTTGAAGTCGACGAAAAAGCGTTGGGTTAGTGTGTCTTAGTTGCGTATGTTTTTCTTTATTTCTTCAAATAAAGTCGTAATTGCGTCTACAATTGATGGTTTGTTTTTTTTTGGAAAAAAAAATGCATCGAAAACAAGAAAGTTCATTTATTTTCTGATTGAAAATGAAAAACTGATTAACCAAAAAAACTGGAACTCTAGCCCATCTTTTCCAACTCATAAATACTGCAAACATGTGTTCTCTCAACGAAACCAAAAGCGTTTCATTCCTGATTCAGTGCTATAGATACAACTTGATTTGAAGCAAGCCGTTGCTTGTTGCCATGGTCACGTTTCACACCATTTTTCAAGTTTTGCGAGTTTTCGCGCTTTTGATTCTTTGAATTATTTGGTAAAAAATTTAATTGGTTATCTAATACAACTTTTCTAATCTTATGCTTATCTAATAGTTTCGGAGAAAAAGCAATTTTATATTGACTCACCAACATTTTATTGATTTGTTTACTCTTAGTAACTCAACTTTCGTTTGATTTTTTTTTTGATTTTGTGAGAAGATTTTGAACCGTTTTTTCTCGATACTTCTAAGTTTTTTCTGATTTTGTTTAAAAGCGCAAGTCACAATTAAAAGAGTTTTATTATAACATTTCCTTTTTTTCGTGTCAATTTCGTTTTAAACCCAATTTTTCCTAAAAGAACAAAACCTGAACTCAAAATCCTTTTGGTGGTCGGAAGAACTTTAGATCTGCCTCAAGGCAAAACTTCATAATCTTTCGACTATCCGTCGACTAATTGAAACCATAAAAACTAAATTAAAGAATAGAAGGGTGAATTTTACAGGTTATAACGTCTATCAATCTAAATTATCGTGTACAGAGCATCTTTTACAAATTTGTATTAGAGGTCAAGCTACATAAGAATCAAATATTGTTTGTTGACACAACAGGAGCCAGTAATAAATCAGGACGAGCAGAGTCCATAGTTAGTTTAGTATCATGTCCATGTTTTACTGTCGATTGAGTCAAAATATTGTCACAAGTCAAATTGAGACTACTGCTGAACAAAGCATTGCTTGTAGTTAGGGTTGAAGGGGGTTGCGTAATACCGGTCAAAACATTAGCAAGGGAGATGGTGTTATTTTGCTGACCAGTCAAATTAGCCAACTGTTGCGCCAAGCTGACTGAGTTTGCAAGTTGTTGTGCGTTCCCAATTCCAATCGTTTGCGCTTTCGGCTGAACAGTCTGTGGGAAAATTGCGCCTGATGCTGCGGCCGCTGCTGAGTAGCAAAGTAGTGACAAATAAGGATTGACACCGACAGTCGACGCCCTCAGGAGTTCTAACTGCATTTGGGCGAGTGTTTTTTGAGCCGAAGTTTCATTTGCGAATATTTGTGAAGCAGCGGAGACAGCGGGATTCGATCCCATGTCGAATCCAACTGGAGGTGCCAAAGCTGGCTGGTTGATAGACTGAGATGTTACTGGAACTGAATTGGTTATTTGAGTTCCGCGCATGGCAGAGTTTGCAATTTGTGACGTCAGCGCCATTTGAAGCTGAGCAGCACTGAGTTTGCGGAGGTGGTTTAAGTGGGGGTTGTTTTCGCCCACTGATGAAGACAAAGGTCCGCAATGAGAGGGCAAAATGTCACCGTGAATTTGCTTCCTCTTTGTTTTGTAGCGTCGGTTTTGAAACCAAATTTTGATCTAAATAGAAAAAGTGATATTTCTCATTCTTCATTTCATTATAATTATATGATGCATCATTAATACAGAAGAGTACTTGATATTTATGACAAAACTGGTACAGCATTTCTTAGCAAAACATATCTTGAAAGTTGTAATATTTAAGTTTAAAAATCTAGGGAATCAGCTATCCATCATACTTGAAAATTTAAAACACTTTTATCCACTCTCTATAATTAATAGCTGCTTCGATCCAATTTTTTCCAGCTGAAATTTCTCTCCACCTTATCTTAAGAGTCCCACTGCGAAAGCGACAATCAAAGTGGCAATATTTTATCAGATTCAAATAAATCAGTTTATTAACACAAGTACCTGTTGTTGACGATTTCATATTCATAATCCGGAAAATATTTTAATCCATAAATATCATTATGCGGTTGTTAAGTGTGCTCTTGAACAGGGAGAGCAACAAGTGAAAAATTAAGATTTGCAGTATAAATTATAAAGACCATTTTTTTCCTCACTTTGCGAAGTACTTCGGCAGATTATACAATTTGAAAAATTGCTATCAACACTTTCGTAATTTTTTGCCCAAACTGTAATAACAACCTAAAAAATTAACTCTCAATTAGGCATTTTGTTACTTAATCCACTCAAAATTGAACAAATAAACGATTACCCAACCGTTTTCCCCCTACAATTTTTGCTCCTTTTTTCATTGCAGCTCGAATGGCGACTGAAAGAACTTTAACGTGATAAAATACATCCTACCTCTGATTTTTTTTATAAGACCGAAACCAACGAACACAAATTACAACAAAAATAAAAGATGTAAAGGCTAGATGCATCGATTGAAAATCTGCTTATCTCACCTGTGTTTCTGTGAGTTTGAGTGCCGACGCCAGTTCCGATCGCTCGGGTCCCGACAGATACTTCTGCTGGGCGAATCTCCTCTCCAACTCGAACACCTGGGCATGCGAGAAAGCAGCACGGGTTCTCTTTTTCCGCCGCCTATTCCCCCCATTTCCCCCCTGCTGAAGTTCACTCAGACACTGTTCGTACTGTTCAATCGTACCCGAGATTCCTGAAGATTTGGTTTCTTGATGGCAGTCATGTGATTGTTTCAGAAATAGGTCGGCCGAGGTTGGGGTGAGTGAAGACTGGTATTTTGAGATGAGAGAAGTGGAAGATGGACTGGGGAGCAAGTCTTCGTCGTCTTCTGGAGAAAAAAAACAAACAATTAACAAAAAGTGGATACAGTGATGATTTTTATGACATCCTAATTTCTCATCATCTATAGCTGCATCTATCATATCAGTTACATTTTTATGCCTAAATTTTGCCCACTGATCTAAGAATTTCAGGCTTAGAACTCAAAATATGAGAAAAAAACGTTATGTTTATACAGGTGGGTAAAGATCTTATAAGAATAACCTACCATTACACGAGCTGCCTTCATTGCTCTCATCGTCACTTTCGACTCCCTCATTTTTCGTCAGGTTCATTTTTTCTTCCAACTGATGACTTCGAGACCCTAAAAGACCCTTGTGGTCCTCCAATTGCATGAATTTTGGACGATGTTGCAGGTGATGATGGTGGTGACCCTGTTGATGGCTCATCAGATGGCGCACCTGGTCTAGATTGCCTCCAGCGACTTCGGTTTGATTGCTGTTGTTAATGAAAGTTGCCGCTTTCAAAAGAAGATTGTCAATGGAAAATGTTTCACGCGTAGGTTTGTTCACTTGTTTTTCAGTTTCGGCCACGTGAGAAATTGGTTTTTCAACTTCGTTTCCGGTTTGAAAACTCGTTTTTGAAAAATGTAAATTTTTCCCATTGTTATCTTTGGGAATTTTGCTTTGATTTTGGAGGTTTTTTGGCATTTCTGATTTGTTAGTCAAATTTACGGGACTACTTTCACTTGACATTACTCAAATTTTGTTAAATTAGGAGTGAAGTTAAAAGGTAAAAAAGAGTTCAAATCAGAAAAGTAAGGTAAAATAGGATGAACTTGGATTAGCAATGAAAGTGAGAAACGGATATTTGGGTAAGTTTTCCGGGTGATCGTAAGTGTTTTTAGGAAGTTGAGAATTAAAGGTGTCTATTATTGCTAAGAAGGGCTAATTGACTCGCAATTTCCGATCCAACTATCTCTTCTACTGTTGACACCCAACGGAGCTAGCAGGGATCGCACTTATGCAGTGGACAGATCGCAATTAGGTAAATTAGGAAAAAAGGAAGGGCTTTGTTTGCACAATAAAGGATAAATGCACCCTTGACATAAACAATTCCCACTTTGAGAGCCTATATCACTAATCGATTCGCTCAGTTCTCACCCCAGAAGTGGAAGATGGATACTTTACTTTTTATTAGAAGAATTCAACTCGGAGAAAGAGGAAAAATTAATCAAAACTTACAGCAGGTAACTTTCAAAATAGTTTTTCCTTTTAGGTTCAAACTTTCGACCAAGTTTTTTAAAACTTCTGTTGAAAAAAAGGAATTGTTTTTTTTCAGCAGCCTATTTAATTGACTTCAAACGAGCAAATGACTTTATGAGGCAATGTTTTCAGGTAAACATCGATACAGACTTCCAAAGTGGCCCGGGATTTGACGGCAATGGGAGATTCTGATTGGACGAGCGATATGAAGGAGAACAACAGAACAGGTATTCTTCAATCCCCTGAGGTCAGCTAAAGGAATGAGGGCTACGAGTTATTCGGGATAAGTTAGTTAGTAATTGTCGTCTAGTTAGTAGTGATGATGAGAAAGGGAAGATGAGGAAAAGAGAAGGTGGATTAGTAGGTTAAATGGATTGATTTTTGAGAGTAGCTCTAGTTCGACTTTTTAGCATTATCTCTCGCGGCTAGAAGTGTAATTAAAGTGATTATAAGTAGAAATTGGCGGAACGTATTAACTCAACTGCTAGGTTTAAGGTCCACTATTGTACCTGTTTTACAACTAACACTTTTTAATAGCAGATTACAGGGAACAGAAGAACTGCACTATTTACTACAAGTTCAACTCTTGATCACTTTTATTGTTTTCCCGGCTAATGCATTTATTGATTGATTTACAATTTGCCCAAACAATAAACCCAAAACTAGCCACCGGACACTATTTAGGGATACTTACTGGGCTAAATAAATCACAAGCATATAATATTAGAAATATCTTCAGGTTCACCAAGAACTTAGGGAAATTTTTTGAAGTTATCTAATGCAAAACAAAATTATAACTATTTGTCTTGGGATAATTGCCACAAATGAAGTTTTTGCAGATTTTGGGAATTGGAAAATCAAGTGGGGTTTAAAATGTGAAGCTTTAATTGACGGTAACTTTTCTGAGTGGGAAAAGTAATTTGGTTTCAAAAAGTGCCTTTTAACAAACCGTGACTGAAGCATACCTTTTTTAGATAAGCGAGCTGCCAATTTAGACAATTGAAAACAGTTTAAAACACTTAAAAACGTCCTTTGATCTAACAGGGGAGGCTTCAACAGAGTCACAAATTGCTAAATTGACGATAAGGACCCGTTTTACCTTAATGAGCATTCACTTTTCACCCAGATTAGCGGAACAAATAGGAAAATTAAAAAATCGTGAGTGGTTTGAGTACACCTGAATGGGAGATATCCTCAATCAATCAATTTTATTATCATCTGTAGGTCTCGAAATAGTGCCAAACAAGTCTTCAAAAAAAGGTAAACTGCGCTGAGAGAAGTTGATGGGGTTTTTCGGAGGTAATTTAGTACTATTATTCTAAAAAGCATAATCAAGTTGGCTCAAAAAATTATTCAAACGCAGCTGACAGTCCCCGGGAACAGATATTTATAACTACTAAGGTTGCTACTGAAGCGCTTATCAATATTTGGTAGTCATAGCATATTAGATATATTCGACAACAATTTTCCTCGAAACATAATAAAAACATCAAAAAATTTTATTCATCAAGAAATTTAAAACATTCTACTATAATAAGTCTTTTAGAAGCTTGCTCTCTCGCATTATTTGCTCGAAATAAGGTTAAAGATTAAAAATTTCCAACCGTTTTTTTTCAACACAATTTTTGAAAAACGTTTGAATCACGATGGAAAAGCTTCAAAATGATATACCACTCAACCCATTAAGATGATTGTTTATTCAAAACAAAAACATCAAAAAAACATCAAATTCAAAAAAAAACATCCGAAGACAAAAGTCTTCCTACATTTAATAGTCGGAGCAAAAAGGATCAATATGAAAAAAGGATAGCCGATTACTGTGCAGGTAGCATAGAATGTTCCGACCATGGATAATCTTTAGAAAACTACGGCTTAGAAATTTTTTTTTCCAAATTAGTGTAATTTTTTCTGCTTGGTGTGATAAAAAAGATTTGACTTTAAAAATAGTTTAAAAATTTTAGACAGTCATATTTCTCGGGAAAAAAGTTTACCAAACACTGAAAAAAAAAACCTCGAACCCCGGACCATAGGGTGAACAGGTAAGTGCATTACCTCCAGATTAAGTGGGAAAGCGCCTACAAATTGCTAAAGTTCGATAACAACGCAACATCAATTTCTTACAAATGGGTAAGAAAAATTGTTCACGGGGAAAAATAAGTCTAGTTCCCAATTACAAGACACTAGCTCTCGCAAGTGTAATAATAAGAATAGCTTATTGCTGGGCAAATATCAGAGGAGGCTCCGACCAGAGTATCAAAAATAAACAAGGAAAGTTGTTTTTTTTTTCAAATTGGGTCGTTTTTCTTTGTTGGGTGATGAGAAGATCTTGACGATAGATAAAAGTTTAGGCATATTCAATAATAATTGTAAATTAAGAAATTTTTTTCCCAGTAGAATTTTTTTGTTCCCAAGAAGGTGCTAATTAAAACTTCAAAAACTATCTTTTATTACTCAAAATTTTCACCGCCTAAATGAAAACTTATAAGCCTGCTCACTCGTCTTATTAGCTCAAATTTAGACTAAAAACCAAATTTATAAAAAAAGTTTTTCGATACCGAGAAAATTTTAAAACATTTTTGAAAACAGTACGTATTCAGACTGAAATGGTTTTTATATGATAAATCATTCAAACCAATTCGAAGAAATTTGTGGTAATTTTTTCTAGTTGAAGAATATAAAAATTCGAAAAAACAATCACAATCAAAGGCAATCATCTTTTCCAACTTTTACTGGTCAGAAAAAAAACAAGCAAAAACTCCTTGAACATTGCAAAAAAATATTAGCTTTTACAGGGCAAACTCTAACTTATGCAGTGGCGTGCGCAGAAATTGTTTAAGGGGGGGGGGGGCGTTTTTTCAAGAAATTTTTGCCGACCTTTTTTTTTAGGCCGAGCAATCTTTTTCCGAGCTCTTCAAAAATAATACTATTCATATCGTTAAATGAAAAATGGATGTCGTGAAACTATACCAAAGGGGGACCCTTTGAAAAAAAATTGGCAACCAGAATTGAGAGGTGGGAAGCAGCCCCCCCCCCCCCCCCCACGCTACTGAACCCATGGTAATGATAATATTAATTTATTTTGAAAAAAAAAAAGAATAAAGAATAAATTTAAATTGCTCGTATCAGGCTCAGGCAAACACCTGAAATGATGCGCCTATCCTATAACATCAGTGAATCTTTTCTAACTAGAAAAAAATGGCGAAACTCTCACAAAACAAAAGAACTTTGAAATTTTTTCTGAAATTAGTTTCCCCACATACTGTTTAAAACAAAAGGTGATATATTTAGTCTACAGTAACATACTTATTTTTGCAAATGAAATGCCTTTATTCAATTTCGAACAATTTTATAACTCCGTTTTGCTTAAAACTTTGCGAAAAATGATCTTTTGTGAAAAAAATTCGAGCACAAGACATCAAAAGCTTCCATAAGGTGCTTAAAAATTTCGTCAAAATGGCTAGTTAAAATGTCTAAGTTTGTCTGGACAAAAACTTTAACCCGAGCCTAAATATTTAAATATTTTGCCACTTCCTTCGAAGGTCGAAACAAAAAAAATAAGATATTACTAACAATATTGAGCTCGTTTTCAAATCAATCACACTTAGTTCAATCCCGCTTCGTCATTCTCATCCCCTTCCTTACTCTAAATCAGCCTGAAACAGTAAAATATTCCGTCCAGTTTTCCTCGATACTGAGAGATAATCATTTCGGAATCTGAACCACAATTGAATTGGCTTGCAAATGGCATCAAACTCGATGACCCAATTTTATTCGAGCTGTCTAGTTTTGCGTGAACATCACAAAATTCACACTAATATTTTTTCTTACTCTTCCGAGCGAGGCCAGAGCAGTGCTCATCTGCACCCAAAAAAAACTTATTGAAATACTTGAGAAGCATTTTTAAAAACTCAAAACTTTAGCTTATGAAAACAAAAACTATACCAAGGAAATGAAAATTGTCAGAAAAATAGTAAAACATTTCTAGAAGTAATTTTTAGGTTTTTTCCTGTAATGCGAAGAATATAACAATATAGCTTACTGCCCAGCTGCATGGTTATTTTTTCGAAATCTTGAAGAAATTTGTGAGAGATACAACCATTTGGACATAACTGTTATTAGATACAGGTTCAAATTGAGCCAAATCTAGTCCCCTATTGCGGTCAGATTTACACATTTTATCATATTCACAAACTTTTGACATTGCTATCTGACAAAACGAAAAAATCAAGTTAACTCGGAGGCTTTAGTGAGACTTGCGAACCAGAACTATTCAGAATGAATATTTTGTAAAATTAGGTTTTCCTGAACACGAAACCAATGTTGCCGTCAATGAAGAAATTGTTCCTTATAAAATCGATACTGTCACTGAGCTTCTTACAGCTATTTGTTATTTGTGCGAGTGAGGAGTTAGTACAGGAGATGAGCTGCTAATTCCTTTCAAAGAGTCCATTTTAGCCCGTTTATTTCGCTTGAATGTCCCAATTGAATTAGCCAGAGTTAGTGTCGCATCAATTTAAGTGTCGAACCAAATTACACACTGGCATCTTTTTAGCGAGACTCATTTATTATCACTTCATTAGACAACAATTTGCCATTGTGCTTGTCTAAGTGCAGCAGTATTAGTAGTAGTAGTAGTAGTATAGTATTGGGGTAAAAGGGTGTTTAGAGATCTCTATTAATTGACCAGCTCCTAAAGTAACTCCATCAACTAGCTATGTGATCTAAACACATCATCTACTTTGTCCCAAAATGCCCTATGCAGTCAAAGTCGAATTGACGGGGTTCAAATTTGCACTTGAAAAAAAATTACCATAGAGAAAATTAACAATTAGTATTAAACTTTAAAATAAATGGTGGAAGCTAGACTAAGCCCATCTATTTTTTCTATCGTTCGTCAGGACGAACTTTGATTGCACGTTCTGTGGTGAAATGTACGTCGGCTCTTTGGTTTACTCTTTGCATTTTTGCAAAGTGAGGATTTCATCCAATCCTATTTAGACCCTTTCCAAATTATTTCCAACCAGATGATTGGAAGCGCTTGTTATTTTTGGGCTATTAGCTGCCAGAATTCCTGAACAGAGAGTTAAGCCACGCGATTGATTTAATAAGTTATTGAAATTGTCTAAAAGGCAAATAGATGCACTTAGTATAGTGATGTTTATAAATTGACTGCCCTTACACAATTTTAGAGAAAAAAAACACTATATTTTATCAAACTCGCGATAATTTCGCCTGTTTACAGTGAAATATGCGGATCTAATCTCGGTTTTTATCGAATGTTAAGAAAAACTTCTTAATCTTTGTTGGGACTAGTTTATCCTGAACTACAAACAAAGACTATTTTGTCAAATCTTCTTCGCATACAATGAGAAAGTTGACTAAAAACCCATTTTGGGACTTCATGGAATATTGG